TTGTCAAATGCCCATGTTAGCGGTGGGCTCATGGACCCTCTCTTAATTCAAAAAAAGAATCTATAAAATTATTAAATTATGGTATTAATTCAGTTTAGCTTTTCGACTATTTTCTTTTATTAAATAGCTATTTTTAATGAGTGATGAGTCATTTTGTAAAACCTATTCATAGTGTTGTGGATTACGTAGAGAAAATGATTAGAAACGAATTTTTTTTTGAAACTGAATTGAAAAAAGAAAAATTTTGTAAACTAAAAACAATATTTAAAATGTACTTATGTTCTCATGAAATTCAATAATAAGTTAACTATTTAGTCAATGTTTAAGATATGAAAGCTTGTAGTTATGTATATTAACATGGTATATCCTAACCGAATAAGTTGATCGGTTTGAAAACTAAAGGTCTAGAGATCAATACTCAATGTTTTCATTTCTTTTCTGTTCTCTTTAGAACATTCTACAAGAATTCTATCTAGTAATGTGATAAAATTCTCAAGAAAATCTGATAAAATATTGCAAGATGCAACTGAAAATTTCTTTTTCATATAGAAATCATTTGAATGCTGGAAGGATTCTGAAGTTAAAACAATGTAAATACAAAATTAATTAGAATTCTTTCAAGATTTTATTCCAATTCTTGTCAAAATCTTTAATATTTTCTAGCTATACATTTCTTTCTCGGTTTAGGGCTTTCTGAAACAATTCCTGATTTTAAATCTAAGTGTAAACTTTTCAGAATCTCTATTAAATTTTATTTTTAATCCTGTCAGAATCTTCAAAATTTCTTGGTTGCATGTCTTGTACAAGATTTTGCCGTTTTCACATAAAAAACAGTTAATCATTGCAGAAAATTTAAACGATCTGCGAAAACACGAAAAATTTTCGGTAAGGACATAGTCTAATAAATCATATATTCAAATCATACAAACATCTTATTAAGGCGTGACAAGGCAGCGAAGAAAAGAATAAGGTAGAGACTGAACGGGAATCAAAACATCCATCCCGTTTCGGCTTGTGGTTCGTACTGATAAGTCGAGATATTCATACGAACAAATCAAACTTTTACATACAAACTCCTCTTACATAAGCTTTCATGCAAGTCAAATGAGAGAATTATAATCGGAGATCGAATCTGAATCCAGATGTTATCGAATCGAATCAAATGAATATTGTCTTGGTCGAAAAGTGATTAGACATCTCGAGTTGTTCACTCTTTAGTATAGAAGCTTAGAAATTCTGTATGAATCAAAAGCACATATATAATTTACTTGTATTATTAACATTCAGCTACTATACATTGAAATCTGATTCCAAAGATATTTGTTCATGAAAAGAAATAGCATGTAATAACAAATATATATCATATATTTGTGCATATTGATTATCATATTCTTTCACAAGTAAGATCTGTATTTCACTCGATCAAATATTAATATCAACAATAGACAAAATTAAATATTTAGTTCTATTAGAATAAAAATGATATAGAATAAAATTGTATTTAAAAAGAAAAAAAAAATCTATCGAATTATCCACATTCATTATCGTTAATATTTATATGCGTTTGATCACTAGATGATGTTCTACCAAGAGGAATTCTTTTTCGATTTTTCTCACTAAGTTCAGCAAATAGAGGTTCACTATTATGAAGTAATGTCACAACATCAGTATATGCTCCACCAAGTTTAACACCAATATGTGCACAACACATATTTTCAAAAGGCCAATCGTAGAGTAAATGATGCATCCAGTCACGAAATAAATATGGTGCATCACGTGTTGAATATAAACCTGAAGTTTTAATTGATGGATGAAATGCTATTGCACCATCTTTACAACCAAATAATTTAAGTAAAAAACCAGGCTTTTCAGCATACATAATTGTATCATTAACATGAAGAGTTTGTGATGCTGTATGATAAACAAAAACACTTACAAAATGATTTGTTGATTCAGGTTGAGGATTAATAAATTCAGCTCCTATAATAATTAAAATAAATAATTTATTTCATTTGTAAATAATATATATTTTTAGAAAAAACCTGCTGGAATACGCATTTCAATATCTGGTTCCCATTTTTTTCTAACATTATAATCATTAAGATCTCCTGCCCATGGAATTTTTGTTAATCGATGTAAATGTCTTGGTGTACCATAATAAGCTGCTTTTGAATATACTTTATAAAAAGCTTGAAATGATAATGTATGAAATGGATGTGTGCCAATAACAGCTTCAATATTATCTCCATTATTTGTTAATTTATCAATTTTTTGTCGAAGACAATTATTCATTTCAATTGTATCAATAATAAGAAATTTTCCAGTATGTAATTGTATTATTGACATTTGTGTTTCAACATCAATCATTTTTAGATATTTACGACAACCACGAATATTCCAAAAATTAGAACCAATTAAATGAAGTTCATTTTTACCAAGTTTTCGTGTAGCATTTTGAGTTTGAGTTGGTACAGCTACAGACATAGGTTGAAAAGAAGAAAAAAAAACCTAATAATCTGAAAAGAAGTTTTGATAAATCAAAATTCATTATAGTTAAAAAATTGATAAGAATTGTTTCGTCTCTCATCACCGAATAAATAATAACAATGATCTATTAATCTCATTCAAGTAATACCAACCGACAACATATATAATATATTGTGTTGAAACAAAACAACAAAAAGTTGATTGTGTAATTGCATGATAATATATAAAAATGAACAATCAGGATCAAAACAAGAACAGAAAAGAAAAAGAAAATTCATAGAAAAAAAAACAACAAATATCTTATTCTGACGAATATAAGTCAAAAATTAACAATTTCAATTATTGAATAATGAAGCAAAATGAATCAAAACTAGTTTAGTTTATCAAATAAAAAATATCACCTAAAACCATTTATTATTTTATCAGCAAGATAAATAAAATCGAAATATTTTGCAAAAAATTTAACTTGTATTTATGACACATGATCAAAATGAGAAAAACGTTATACCTTTCGAATTTCAAATCAATGACGTTAGATGTACTTAATAATTTTAGAAAGTAAAATATAGACTTTACATGATAGACATTCATAGATACAAAAAAAAACCCAGTGCAAATGAGTATCTTACCGACTCATCTCATTAAAATTATAAATCATAGAATTGTTATGAAACTAATAATTACTTTTGAAATTTTCAAAAAATAAAATATGAATAAGAATCTCGAAGTTCAATTTTCAATATTTTGAGCTATTACGTTTATTAATAGAAAAAACAAAACAAAAACTATATAGATGGTGAGAGATGATTCGTATGTGACAAATATAAATCTATTCCGTTCTGAAAGAATAAAAAATAAAATGAAATTAATGTTTTTTTTTTTTTATTGATCGAACAGTTCTAATAGTAAAATTATTCAATCTTGCATTTTAAGGCAACATAGTCCAATAAATTTAACATGAGAAATCGGATCGATATATTTAACATTATATTTAACAATTAATTTATTAGTTTTTATGCTTTTATTGCTGTTTGGATAAGTATTCATGTTTTTCTATTTCATAGTTAGATATATTATATTATCAGTTCGACCCTAAGGTATAAAAATCTAATACATTTATCATATAAAATGAACATACCGGATGTTCGTCGGATGTTAATCAAAAAATTTAACTAGCTTGAGTCATACAATGTCCTTTCTCAGACATTATTTTCTTTGTTGTTTCTCTCGCACGCTGGTCTCGACTAAATCAAATTTGATCAATTTAGCAAATAATTGTAGATTTTTTATTTCGAATGACATTAAACTAAACTTATATTTACTGAATACCAGTCATTTTTTATCTTTTTATTTGTTTATTTTATAACAAAAATTGAAATTCTATAATTTAAGAGACAAAAAATGATCTTCATGTTCCTTTTCTAAAATTCTTATGACTAAGTAAATAGTTATTATTACTTCATTTAGTTTACTTTAAGTTCAACCTACAAGCGAAAAATCATCAATAAAAATATCTTTCTATTCTTCTATAGATTCACCATCTGAATAATCAAGACTTAATGGATACAAAAATATCTCATGCTTTCGAATTCTATTTTGACTTTATACATGATTACATGGAAATATTTTTTTTTATTATTCATGCATTGAGTTAAATTGTCCAAAAGGGAAAACCGAAATCATAGACACAAAAAAAAAGAAATTTCGGTCAAAGCTATGCATCAATTGAAATATGCCGAATTTTTCAAATCTTACAAATATAAGTACATGTATTTATTCATGTATAAAACTATTTCTCTATGCATAATAGATCATAGTGACCAAGTTTAACAAAAATATATTCAAGATTGAGAATTACTTCAACAATTAGTTAAATTTCAATAGCAAAATATTCCATTGGTATTTCAATTTGAAGATCTTCAATAAATTGATTATAAATGAGCAGAGGGTGTGGGTATGGATTGATGAAGTGAGGATTAACATTCACACTCACATCCTCAGAGGAGAAAATGCTACACAACATATATACCAGTAATCTCATTGAACAGGAGAAGAATGATTGTCAAAAATGGTTATTTTAAACTTATCCGTCAGATAACTATATTTTGGATCAAATATCAAGTCGAAAGAGTAACATATAATGTTTCGATAGGTCATTTTGTTCAACTTTCGCCATTGAATCGGTCTCACACAAAAGTTGCTCGTTCGAATGCATATAAAAGTTCGAAAAAATAAAACTAGACGAGCGCACCTTGTATGATGAACTATGATGTTCGATACTGTCATTAATACTGTCTTTAATTAAAATATTGATCACGTGTCAACTGAGACTTCTACAGTCGTGAACACAAGTTCCACTACCAGGCAAAAGCTATTCAAATAAAGGTTGTTTTTCTTGAAACTTCTACCATAACAAGAACTTAGTAAGCCTTGATCGAAGACAAACCTTCGAACCATATCCTCTTACCAAGACTGAGATATACGGTTAGCATAAAGAACTTTTTCTTATCATGTTATCTCGGGTTAAGAAAGAGATAGAATGTTGTTCGACCCATCGTTGAAAAGCCTGAGTCTTCTTCTGTGTTCAACAAAATTTTCATCACAAATGGACATATCTTCATTAAGTTATGAGCTATTCTCTGACTAGGCTCAACCATTAGATTTCAAAAATTGTATTGTAAACTGCTTACTTATGCTCAATTTTGTGCTCAAATTTTCAGAAGTATAGCTACTAGAAAAGTGAAGATTCATATCATTCTATATCACAAGACTAATAGCCCTGAGAAGTCACTAAGATATAGCAGATCAAACTGTCCTTTATAGCGTGAATAGATCATCATCATCAGAACTACTCATTGTACTAGAAACATCATCCCGATTCCATCAAATTGGAGAAAACCAGCATAACTATTGCATATCAATATTTCTTGCTTAAAATTAGTGCAAATTAACTGGAAAAATAATGAAAAACAAGAATTTTCGAAAATTTAAGCTAGTCAATTCTGTTCAATTTTAAGCAAGAAATAGTGATATTCAGAGGTTATGATGATTTTCTTCGACTTGATGGAATCAGAATGATATTTTTAGTGCAATGAGTAGTTCTGACGATGATCTATTCATGCTATAAAGGACAGTTTGATCTGCTATATCTTAGTGATTTCTCAGGACTATTGGTCTTGTGATATAGAATGATATGAATCTTCACTTTTCTAGTAGCTATACTTCTGAAAATTTGAGTACAGAATTGGGCATAAGTAAGAGTGTGGGTGTGGGTGTGCGAATGAAGACAAGATTCACACCCACATCCACACCCTAAGTGAAAATGATCTCAAATATGCAGCATTTGTTGATAAACCATTTGAAATTTCATATCAATATGCTGAAACAATAGCTAATCAAATAGCATTAGCTAATGGTCAACCAAAAATCGAGAGAGTTTATTTTATTGGAGATAATCCAGATGTTGCTATTATTGGTGCAAATATGTATAATCATTTACTACCACAAGAAATAAATTTAAGAACAAGTATTAGTTGTTATAATTTATTAACAGATTCAAAATATTTAAGTGCAACATCATGTGAATCAATTTTAGTATGTACAGGTGTTTATGAACCAAATAAACAAAAACTTGATTGCAAAAATCCATGGAAATTACCAACAACAATTAAACTTGACGTTTTTGAAGCTGTTAAATACATCATTTTGAAAGAATCATGGCCATGGATTGTTAATTGTTAGATACATTGTCATATATACATGAAGAGCCATTGTATTTTTTTTTATGTATATAATTCTGTGTCAGATGGTATTTTTATAGACTTGCCATTTTAATTTTGTGAAACAATGTGATTTATGTAAATACGTATAGATTATAAATAAAGATAAAGAAAAGTTTTATGTTGTTGTAAAAAACATCACTATGAAAAATTAATTTGAATACCTATGTTCTAATCTGGCATTTACAATTCAAACGAATTAAACTACTAAATCTAGATAAAAAACATAATTCATCATTGTCTATTATGTTTATCTATGAATCATTCTATTATCATCTATATATAAATGGGAACCGGAATTTTCAGCACGGGAATTTTCAGCACGGAACGTTCAGCACGGAATTTTCAGCACAGGAACGTTCAGCACTAGGAATAATCACCACGTTGAATTTTCAGCACGCGAACGTCCATCATCAAAAACCACACCGCGAGGGTCTTGGTGTGGCTGTAGGTGCCTGTGGGTGTAAGTGAGATAATAAGCGTAGATATGGGTGTCGTTGCGGGCGGAGCCGTAGATGGAGATTTATGTGTTTGTGAGGTTCCGGTGCCGATCTGAGTGTGAATCTAGGTGTGTGTATGGACGAAAATGAGTAAGAAATACACTCCGCTAACCCACACATAGTGAAGGATGCCCAGTACTAGACCAACACCCATCCGGCACCTGCAGCTATGGTCTTACCTATACCAAAAGTCTCATAGTGTGTTTTTCATGATGGACGTTCGCGTGCTGAAAATTCAACGTGCTGATTATTCCTAGTGCTGAACGTTCCTGTGCTGAAAATTCCGTGCTGAACGTTCCGTGCTGAAAATTCCCGTGCTGAAAATTCACCAACCCATATAAATAAAGTCCTTGATCTATCTTTTTCTGACAGCAGCTGTATACAATCAATGTCTTATAAGAACATTTTACATAAATAATATAAAGAACAGCAGAAAGAGATAGATTAACATTATTATAATTTAGAGATGTTAATAAAACAGTTCGAAAATATTATGTATCTGTGTGAAATATTGAAGAGTAAGCAATTTCAACTGCATCCCGATATTAAATGATCTTTCTCTTCTATGAAATGTTCTGTTACATAGCATACTGTGACACAATAAGATTTCCAAAGAGTACCTTTCGAAATTATTTGTTATTCGTACCTCATCACCATACAATTTACTATTGTAAACTATTCTGTTCTTTTATTTACACGATCCTACTTCATAACCTTGATTTTTGAATGAAATTTAGAAAATATATTTAAAAAAAAAATTATGCAATCTAATTTTCTAATAACTTCATTTTCTTGCTTGTTATTCTAATTCAATACATTCACCAAAACTTTCTGCTTGAATCTTAGTGTCAAGAAAACTTCATTTTTAATAATTCCGATTTGATGAACTAATAATTGGTAGACAAAATAACCTTAATGTAGATCAAAGTTTTTTATTCACCGATTTTAGAGAAAAAACAAGAATGACTCAATGGGTGATTTTTCAAAAATATGCCATATCTTCACATCAGTTCAAAGCAGTTGTCGACTGCCTCATCGATATATCTGATAATCAGTAGTTTAGTACTCATGACCTTTACCATTACGTAGATTGGTAAATTCAGCAAGATAAGTATCATATTTGAGATTGTACACAAATGTGTAAAATTTAATTTGTAGTTTAGAATATTAAAAAACTTTATTATCTAACGAGTCAAATAACTAGATAAATCAAAATTGTATGTGTAGAATCTTAAGATATTATTCAATTTTACATAATCATCGAAATACTATACAGTTTTACAGAATATTATGTATTCGAATTTTTGAACTTCCAGCGCTTGTTCATAAAATATCAGAACTTCATGGTGTTTTCCTTGTCCATAGTGAACATATCCTATTCCCGAAAGACTATCAGTCATATCGAGATGACTGTATGCATAATACTTTTTTTGCATTGTCAATGCTTGTTCAAAAATGTTCAGAGCTTCATCATACTTGCCTTCGATGTAGACAATGTAACCAATATTGTTAAGAGTGGAAGTAATGTATACATGACCTTTTGGATAATATCTTGTATAGATTGACATTGCTCGTTGACAAATTTCGAGGGCTTTATCGTAGCTTTGTTGATGTATTAGAACCTGACTAATGCAATAAAGACTTACAGCGATATCGATATGAGAAGCTTCATAATATTCTTCGAGTATTGTCAATGCTTTTTGATGAAAGATAAGTG